TCCCTCCCTCCCTCTGCCCTTTAGTCCTGTTCCCCTCTGGAGCTGGGTTTGCATGGACTTACACTGTGAGGTGGAGAGTGCCAAGAAGGAAGAAAAACTGGCTGTTTTTTTTTTGAGTAAAGTGCACACACATGTCTTGAACTTAGCTTCCAGTCTGGACACAGACATGTACTTCTCCCTGGCGTCAGGAGAGAGTCACTAAGGAGTGTCCAAGTCATTAGCAGACGAGGGCAGGAGGGACCTGAGAAGAGTCACACCCGAGAGATCGCAGCTCAGTTAGTTACAGTGAGGAATTGCTGTACTTCATTGTGGCTTTTTCTGAAAACACACGTAGAGCTCCTATTTCTGTCACTTGCTTTCCTGCTGTATAGAAATTCCTCTCGTATTTCCTGCTCCTGATTTTAAATCCGCTTCTCCAAACTGAGCTCTTTTGTCTGAGCCATGTAATTTCTTCGGTAAGGCTCACAGTACTCGTGGTAGATTAAATCACTTCAATATTCTAAAATGGTCATTATTTCCTTAAAAGCAGAGAACTGTCTTTTTAAAAGCACAATCCTTTCTTTTCAACCCTCTTTGGGGAAAAAAAATTGAAATATTTTATCTCGGGTAGTGTTTTGGTGTTTCTTTTTAGACATGAAGGAATCTTTATCTTGCTTTGCCAGGAACCTGATCTTAAAGAATTAGCTATGAAATTTTTACCAACAGCAGCTTCTGAACAGACAGACTTTGGATACAGAACAGCTTGTGCAGGTGCAGGGCATTTGCGTGTCCTGTTCTTTGTGGTGGGAGCTATTGATCCCAGTAACATCGGACTTTTCTCGGGTGTCGCCTGATTCTCCCCACTCGCCTTGCATCTTCTCAGCAGAGAAGGGAACCGAGGCCTGAGCCTCAGAACAAAAAGTTACATTTTTTCCAAAAGAAAATTTTTAACATAAGGTTACTAAACACTGAAACAGGATTGTGAGAGGTCCTGTTTTATCTTTTCATAGCATTTTCTAACGGCAACAGAAAGCTGATGGTAGGATTAGTTAGATGGAGGGTTTCATTTGACGCCAAGGATCTTAACAGTTGTTCCCTGCCGTGTTTAAACAGGATACAAGGGTGCTTGGCCTGAAAACCACCTCGTAAACCAGATAAACGGGGCTAATTACTCACACTCCACAGTGACCCTTCGGTGTTTGTTACAGAGGGCTCCTCGACACCGTCTTTGAATTGGTAGGCATCCTGGAGCATTGAGAATATGATCGGATTTAACGTGACACATCGATCTGGGACCATGTTATCTATTAGATCAAGTGTATTGATTTTTCAAGTTACAGTACTATTTTCTAATATCAAGATTTATATTGGTTGATAGTTTCACTTTGAAAGATTTTGGGTCATGTAGAGAGAAGTTCACTGCACACCATTAACTTCTAAAGAGAAGACTCTGCTCCTTTCATTCTTTAGTGACGAGTAAAACAGTATTTGTTTCTTATGAGCATCTCTTAGAGCTTGGGTACTGGTTGAGTCACTCAATTATTAGCAAGACAGGCTCATAGAAACTGATGTTTTTCCTCTAAATCTTATTTCTCCCATCAAAGAAAGCCTGGGTCTTGTGCGTGTTTTGTTTTCAGTTGGGCGTTTCTTTCTAACAATGACTTTCTGTGTAAGTTCTGGTGCTTGGTTCTTCTGTTTAGAAGTGCTTTCGTATTAACGGCAGCTCTCTCACAGGCATATTACAAGATCGAGTGCAGGAATGCCCATGAATATGCATTTCATGGGCCATTCAGATTCGGATTTAGGATCTGGGGTTGGTTGAGGCCAGTAGGTTTGGAGGCATTCCAGTATCGGAGCAGGAAGGAGTCCAAATCCCACAGCGACGCAGGGCGGGCGGGCTCTCCTGTCGCCACCTGTCTGCACAGAACCGTCCACTGCCTCATCAGATCTGCTTCTGCTCTAGTGCTTTTAACCAATAGGGGATTCAGCAAGTTTCCTGCAGGAAACTGTAGACCTTATTAATTCCAGTTTCATATTTTACAAGCTCTCAGATGGGCTCCATTCCTGTACTTAAATGTCTCAGATTTGCCTTCTCCAGAATGTTAAATGCATTGCCAGAATTAAAGTTTACTGCAGAGAATCTGAGACCTTCATGTGCATTTCATTTCATTTCATTTCAGGGTGGTCTCCACCTGCCACTCCCTGGTGGTTGGGGTGTTAGGCCTGTACGTTTTCTTGCTCGATGAGGCTACCATCGCGGACCCACTGTGGTAAGCGTTTCTTTCCAGCACAGCCAGTGTGCTTTACGCTCAGGTATTAATCATTAGCCAGGACCCCCCTCACTTGGCTTCGACACAGAGCACGTTGATGGAGTGTGGTTTATTAAAATTCTTGTGTTCAGTCTGATTTAGCAAGTGCATTGCAGTGACTCATTTTAGATTTGAACACAAACACTGAGTGTTACTTTGCCTCAGCATCACCTTTGTTATCCAAAAACGGGAGACTGTGATGCGAACTTTTATACGGTGCCAGCGGGTTAAAACCAAGTTATTGGAACCACTGTTCTGAGCAACAGTGAATTATTATTGAGGTAGAACAGTCCTCAAATTTATGTGTGACCCATCGTTTGATATCAAAGATGTAAAAGTTAGAACTAACGACATACACGTGGGAGGGAGTTAGTTCCAGAAGAGAGGGTTTGAAGCACCGGTAATAACTATGCTCAGAACTGATGGGATAATTTGTAAGGTGGTTCTTTCTGAAAAATAGAAATGTCATTCCAGGAGCAGAAATTTCACAGGCTGCACTTCCTGGCATTTACGAGAAGACTGACTTAGTTCAGCCTAGTCTGAGAGGTTAGGTGTGTGCCAAGAAAGCACCAGGTAGGGCTCCGGCAGCAGAGGCCGGTCTTGCGACCACCTCTGTCTGGTTTTTATTCGTCTGTACGAAGTGACACCCATCAGAGTTATACCACTATTAATGTTTCACTGGGAAGGTATTTTTTTAAGTGAGTCCATTTAGTGAATTTAGTTCCTTAACCGGGTTTTTATCTAATCTACCTAAACAGTGTCTAGCTTTTTTTTCCTTTTCATATTTTTATTTTACAAATGTGATTGTCCACAGAACCAGTCCTTTTGGGAAATGAATTTTATAAGAAAGATCTGCTTCACTGGCCAATTTTTACCCTTATGAAGCTCCCCCCGTAGTTTCGGGTACTCTCGGGTTTTCCTCTGCGCTGTCAGGCTCCAGGCAGCTTGGACGCGTGGGGAGGACACCGAGTGCCCGAGGTTTTCCACGCTGCTCTTTGTTGCGTTTTGTGTTCGTGTCACTCGTAGTTTACATTTTAAGTCAGATGGCAAAGGCCCGAGCATTTGTATTTGTTTCTTAGCATGAGGAGCGGTAACGGAACCGAGGAGGTTTCACGCAGGAGGGGCTGCGGCAGCCGTCCTGCTCCGGCCAGGTCCTGACATGCGGTGTGACCGGCGGGTCCCTCCAGCCCCCAGGAGAGTGATGCTCTAGAGCCGCCTGCAGCCGGGGGCAGGCTGGACGGTTCCCTGAGGCCATTTGCGTTTCTGATTCAGAATAAGGAATAAAATTTAAAAATCAGCATCCGAATCCCACTTACCCCTTTCTCCAAAAATTCACAAGGGAACACGTTTGTAAAAACTTGTCTTTTGGTAAAACGATTTTCCTAAAACTTTTAGCTAATCAATATAAGAAATTATGATCATTGGGGTAGTTAGAGGTATTATTCTACGAATACAGAACTTTGTGCAAATGACAATTTATCATTGGAGAAGCATTTTTAATTTGTTTAAATCTCAATAGAAAAAAAGTAGCTGTCATCTGTAACCCATGTGCTAAAAAAAGGAACTTTTTTTCAAAAATATTTATAGGGGTGACTCAACGCTTGCGAAAGTGAATGTTGCTATTACTTCAGGCTACCTCATTTCTGGTATGTGATGTTTCCACTGTTCCTTTAAAATTGCTCCTGGGACGATGCAGGGAATGCAGAGCCTGTGCTCTTGGTCGCTTGATTTGAGAAGTAGCTCTTAGGACCCACAGAGGGGAAAACGTTTCCCCGCCAGCCCTGTGGTCCTTATGGGAGAACAGAGCTGGGGATGGGGCCTCGGTTAGGCCTGGACACAGCTCACCAGTGATGGTCCCTTTTTGGCTTAAAGAGCCTCTCGGGTGGAATGACTGAGAAGCTAATGCAGGTTAAGCCTCAGTATCTCACCTGCTAGGGGCCCTTGAAATGTGTTCCCGTGGCCATGGTGTAGTGTTTTGGGAAAGTTTGCAAAAGGAAGCTCTTTTAGCCAGAATCAGTTAAGATCATGGCCTTGTCCCACCCCTTCCTGGGTTGGGTGGGTTGGGTGAGACCCAGTGAGACGAGGGGAAGCCAAGTCGAGCCTTTGCCACGTGAGCTGCTTCGTGGAAGCATGTTGGGCCATCTCCACTAAACGAGCGAGTAACAGCCTATGATGCGGGCGTTTGTATCGGGAACCCTGCTTTGTAGTTTTCAAATTTAATAAACTGAAAGAAAATACAAGTAAAAATAACGGGATATGAAGCAAGAGTGAGCATGAGGAGCGATGGGCTCGGAAAACTCCCTGCCACCAGGAGGTGGTCAGAAGCGAGACGGCACCGAACGTGGCCATTCACTAGGGGAGAGACGTGGAGGCTGTGGGGTTACTCGATGCCCGATTAAAAGGAGGGAGTTACGCGAGCGCAGTGAAAACCATGGTGCTGTTTTGGCACAAAATTCTGTCATTGATGAGTACGAACAGAATTCGTATTACTCCTCCCGTGCTGGTTAGTGAGGTCGTCCATTCAGAGAAATCTCAAGTGAAGGAAACTCGATAGGGTTTCCCCAAGTAAGATACCCGTCCAGACACACGCACGTAAGCGTTAGGAACTGGACTGAACTTTTCTAGAGCAAGCTGGATCACAAGCAGATTCTTTGTATCTTTATAGAAAATATTACAGGATCATTGTCACGTAAACTGGTGACCAGAGAGTAGACGGCCAAGGTGCGTGGGCAGGTGTATGGAGATGGGCTTCGCCCGCGGTCAGGCACCAACAGTGGTGTTTTCTTGATTTCCACATTTGTGGTATTTATTTTCTCTTTTAAAACTTGTAATCTGATGTCTTCTTTTTTCTTTATACGTAGTCACATCAGTTTGGTGTTAGTCATTTTTTATTTTTAATAAAAGAAAGTCCTCAGATTTTATAAGCTCCGGCCCCACAAAACCCGACTCCTCCCTGGTTTCCATCCACGGAAGCCACGTTTCCACATCTCACTTTCATGTTTACCCACCAGGCAAAGAAAATAGTCATGTCGACATTTTCAGAAGTTTCTGTTTTATGAAAGGAAACTCTTCTGAACCATGTGTTAAATTCAGGACCCTTTCAAAGAGAAATGGATCCCTGACCTCTTTCTCTGTGTATCTTTTCAACAGTCGCCATTCTTTGTGGCTTTTTGCTATTTTAATTGTATCCTTTGTTAGTTTTAAAATGTGTTGTTAAATTTGTGTTACAAATGAGTTGGTCATTTTTTACCTTTGCTGTGACCATCTCATCTATTTGAATTGTTGTAGTGCCAGAAGTCAGGAATTTAAGCTTATTCTAAATGATTTTTTACTCAATAAGGGTATTTTTGCTTCCTTAACCCTGGAAGCGCACATTCATCCGTGCTTGAACAGCATGCGTAGTGAACGCCACCCTGTCCGATGCCCACGTGAGGTCCTCATGCTGGCAGCCCTGGTAGAGTGGGGGACACGGTTACATGGAAGCTGGTTCTTGTGACAAGGCGGGTCCCTGGCCTGCCGAGGTGGGAGCAGAGTGCTGGGCTCAGAGCGGACAGGCCGAGCCCAGGAGGGTTAAGTGCACTTAGAAAGCTGTGTAACGTCTCGCTTACTTTCCTTCCTGCAGACTTGGTGATAATCGTTCTGTATTGGAAAGTGATTGGTGACAAATACTTTGTGATTCACCACTGCACGTCGCTGTTCGCTTTCTTCCTGGTGCTGGTGAGTCCCTGGAGGCGGGTGGGGGGTGGGGTGAGGGTAAGACAGAGCACCCAGGAAACTAGAAAAATTCAAGCAGCACATCACCCCGTGATAAATCAGTAATGCAGTGGCCATTCAGGGGATGGAAAGATGACTGTGTTGACTTCTAGGGTCTGAATATGGATGTTTGTAAAAAAAAAAATGAGTTTATAGAAATACAGGGCTTAGTAAGTATAACGTTTCCTAGGCCTGATTTTCCAGCATTAACTATGGGTAATACTTGTGTATTCTTGTAGTTTATACGCTGTTACTAATGGCTTTTTGCAGAATCCTTCAATGTGAGACAACAGCTTGAAATCTGTTGGTGTTTTTTTTAGAGTAAGGAAGAGAGAGAGAGACATCGACTGGTTGCCTCCTGCCCCTGCCCCGACCGGGATCAAATCTGAAACCTGGGTCGGTGCCCTGACTGGGAATCGAACCCGCCACCGTCTGGTGTGTGGGACGACAGCCCAACCAACCGAGCCACCTGGGCAGGGCCAAGGTCTGTTTACGAGTGCGCAGTGCGTACACCCGTGAACACACGTGTACAGCTGCGGCTGTCCTGGCGCCCCAACGACACGGCTGAGCTCTCAGCAGGAGGACAGCCTGGGCCTCGGACGCGGCCTGCCTGATGCTGGTTGTGACTGTGCGCCGTGGAGCTTTTGACTGTTTCCTTAGTGTTTGGGAGCTTTGGTGACGCTGCGATTCGTGTTCCTCACCCAGAGAGACGGCGTCCTGCAGTACGTGGCGAACTTCCGCCTGCTCGCGGAGCTGTCCAGCCCCTGTGTGAACCAGCGGTAGGTTGCGGACAACAGTAATTATTCTAAACTCGTACCACTGATTTTTAGCCTGTGGGAAATTTTGTTTCCGAGACCCCAAAGCTCCTAGATGAAAGCAGGCGTGTGTGCCGGGCGCTGTCATCGCCACGTTCAGCGCCGTGAGCCCTGGACATGCGCGGCTTACATTTGCTCCACCCTGTCCTTTGGGCCCTTTAATCTGTCAGATTAGGCTCCTCCCCTGCCACCTGCTGGAATCGTTTCCTGAGAGGCACCAATGACTCCAGTGACAGGGTCTCGTGGGCTCGGGGGCCTGTCCCGCCGTGTGTCTACCGGCTGCTGCCGGTCACCTCCTTACGCCCGACCCCACTGCTTCATGACACCACAGTCTCCGGGCTGTGGTCTTGTCTGACCTCTGTCTTCTGTGTGGGGGGCGGTCCCTTGAAGGCGGTGCTCCTGGTTCTGAGCCTGTGACCTTCTCTGGGCTTCTCCCTGGTCCAGCTGCTCTCAGGGTTCTAGCTCTCACCTGGTGGCTTGTTTTGGCATCATGGACTTTGCAGGAATTTTAGAATCAGATCAACTCAAGGTGAAGTTCAACCTTGGAGAAGGCATTTAGCATCTCTGCGCCCGTCTTCTCCATAGAAAGAGCGTATTGACTCTACCTGCTTCCTGGTGTTACAGTCAGGTGTTTTCTCGGCCCAGGGGCTCATCAGTTCAGCATGTCTACAGTGGACTGCCCCGGATTTCCCTCTGTGTTCTCCACATGGGGATCGTCTTCAACTGTGTCTCCCGCCCCGTATTTGGTCCATTAGCATGTGCTACCAATCACCTCCTAATCCTTTCTGTCGGTCCCACCTTCTCTCCATGTCGGCTGTCAGCGCCTCCTCCCCTCTCACCCAGGCCACAGTACCGGCCTCAGACACTGGACCACCCAGGAAAGCAGCCCCCAGCCACATGTGACTACCTACATTTAATCAAGTGAATTAAAAACTGAGCTCCTCTAACTGGTCACATCTCGTGCTCCATAGCCCCATGTAGCACTTTGTTGTTGTAGGAAGTTCTTTTGGATGGGGGAGGGGTGGGGGAGTGTCGAAGGTGAGTGTCCGGTAAACCAACGCTCGAGACCAAACCCCCACCTTCTTTATAAAGAAGTCTCGTTTCTTTACCACATGCAGCACCTGCTTGAGTCCTCTCTGTGGCTCCTGTTCGCAGGACAAACCGTGGGCTCTTCCTCCGTCATTTCTCAAGACTCAGCTGGGGATGGTTTCCATCACATTGGAAAACCCTCTTCCCGGGCAGCGGGGGCCCCGCCCTGTGCTCAGGCCGCCGTGCCTTGGGATGGACACACTGCATTACAAAGTTCTCTCTCTTTTCTGTTTGTTTACCTCTGCATTTCAACAAATAGTGCTGCAGTGGAAGGCACTTTCTCCAAGATGAAGGTCCTGAACTCCTAGATTTCCAGAGTTAGTTTGTTAAATATAAGTATTTACACGCCTGAGAGAATCCCATTTGCCACCAAGATAAAAGCAGGGTCAGCTCCCGGCCCAGGCTCTGTGTCGAGTCCCAGCAGCAGTGCAGCATCCAGATTCCCACTGGGCTCTTTCCAGGGCTGTCACAAAGGTCCGGCTTGTTGCTCACAGCGACGCTCGTTAACATTCCCTCCACTCCTCTTGAACTTGCAGTGCCCGGGCCCCAGCTCTCCCAGGCGCCAGGGCGGCCTCTGACCCTTGCCCCCAGCTCCTCCGGCTCACAGGCCCGGCTCCGCGAGGCTTAGTTCTTTCTCCCTTCTCTCCCGTCTCTTTGTCTTCCTTTCTCTCCTGTGAGTCGGCCCTCACCTCTTTCCAAACGTGAATTAGAACAGATAAAGCCAACAAGTTAGACTGGATAATACAAAAACAATACAAAACACACAATACGCCAAAATGTTTTTATATGATTTGTAAATAGTGGAGTGAGTACCACAGCACATTAGCTCTCAGGAACCTGAATTGAAAGGTTCAGATCCCTTTAAGGGCAGATATTTCTCTGTGGGGCTAAGGGAGGCGACAGACGTAGACTCTGCTGTCCCTTCTCTGTACTTGGCTCACCAATACCTGGGATGGTGGTTACAGAGCGAGCTTTCCTCCACCTCAGCCCTGCACGTGTTGTCAGACTGCTAAGCCTTCATTTGTGGAATGAAAGAGGGTTCTCGTTTGATAAGAAGCTATGGATTCCAGCAGAGTGAGTGGCCCCTCTGGCCTGGAGAGGGAGATGGGGACCAGCCCGTCAGGTGCTGTCTCACCTGGAGGTAGTGGGACTGGGCTGAGGCCGGGCTCTAGTCACGTGGGAAAACCGTTAGGAGATAAACTCAGTGACAGGACAGGACACCAAAGGGCATGGTCTTTGGTCTGGGCTTGTAGGTAATCACCTTTCCAGACAACCCACAGTTTGGAAAGTGTGAACAGGCTAAATATAGTGTCGAACTCTTGGCATCAGAGAGAAAGGCTAGCGAGGGAAGACTGCTGGGTTACTGTAGGCATCGAGGGGAGACGTGGAGAAGCCCCAAATTCTGATGGTGGCAGTGGAATGGGATGTCAGGGAAGGAGTACAAAGATTTCAGGAGGTGACCTGGACAGGGCTTGGTGACGACTGTAGGGATAGTCTAGGACGACTGCATGTTCTGACTCGGTGACAGAGCCCCTCGTGACCCCACTGAACAAGGGTGGGAGGATTGGGAGGGAAACAGGCAGTTTTCCAAGGTGGTGGTCATGGGGGGAGGGGAGGTCAGACATGGTGCAGGGCATGGATTTCAGGCATGTTGTGTTATAGGCACGTTTGAGAATTTGTGGTTAGTCAGGTGAAGAAATGTGGAAGCACAAGTAGAGCTTAAGAGAGGACTTGAAACCAGAGATCTGTGTGGGGTGCCGAGCCCCTGAACGTGGACAAAGTGGCCTTGGCGTGGAGCACGTGGAAGGAGATGGTCCCTGCGAAGCACAGGTAGGTAAGGGACAGGCAGAAGCAGCACAGACGGAGAGGGCAGAGGGAAGGCTGGTGGCTGGCAGTGCCACATGCTTTAGAAAGGCCACCTGGGACAAAGGCTCCGGTGAATCCACTGTCGTGGCTGTGGGGAAGCCACGGGTGACGGATTTCTTTTGGAGGGGAAGGCGGTCATATTGTGCGGGGCCGGGAAGGGCGGCAGGAACTTCTACCAGCAGAGGGAGATTTCTGAATTAGGAAGGACTGAGCATGTTGGTAAGGGCGGAGAAGGAATCCGACGGTGGATGGGGAACTGGATGGAGCAGGGGAAAGGGGGCACCTGAGTGACGGGGGACCCAGAGCAGGGGTGAAGAGGCAGTGAGCCTTGGAGAGGGCAAGAGACCTCTGCGCTTGATGTACAGCTGAGAGTGTCTGAGGAGACGTTTTGCGGCCTTGGGCTCAGGGTTGGAGGACTGCGTGGTTACGATCCAGCACTACATCATTTATTTGGTTGCTGAAGTTGTTCCAGTTTTTGCCTTTGGGAGCTAGTTCCATTGTTTTCCCCCCCTTGGATATAACCTCACCCTTTTGTCTCTTGAGCACTTTCTTACTTCCTGGCACTAAAAAAACCCTAGATTTCTATTGCGTATTCTCTCTGTCCCAGCCGTAGAACCAGCTGCTTCTCAAGCAGTCCTGGTTCCTTTTGTGGAGAATGGTTCTAGACACCATGATCTGGGCCCGGTGTGCTCACGGCTACCGGGCATCATGGTCTGTGCCCTCCCAGCTGACAGCTGGAGTATACTAACCTGCGGGGCGTATGCACACATCTGTAACTGTTTCTACATGTGTCCTTTGCCTCTTCACATAAGTCTTAGGGGGACGTTCACTGAGTTTTTAAAACTAAAATTAAAATCATTAATCCTCAGAGATGCAGAGTAAATGTGATGTTTCTTAAATTTTCTCCAGGTGGTTCCTTGAAACTCTGAAGTATCCCAAGTTCTCCAAGGCTAACGTCGTCAACGGCATCCTCATGACCGTGGTGTTCTTTATCGTGCGCATCGCCCCCATTCCTCCTTTCTACAGCTTCCTGTACTCCACGGTGGAAACAGAGGCCTACGCCAGGCTGGGCCTGTTGATTCAGCGCTCCTGGGTATCCACGTGCTTCATCTTGGATGTGATGAACGTCATGTGGATGGTCAAAATTACAAAGGGCTGCCTCAAAGTCCTCTCTCTCATCAGACAAGAGAAAGCCAACGACAGAGTTCAGAATGGAAAACTGGACTGAACTCGGCAACCGATGATTGGTTCACCTCCTTACTACCCACATTACATCAACTGATATCAGCTCACCTGGTTACTACCCACGTTACATCGACTGATGGGGTGAATTCTTGGCATGTTCTTCTGCTTCCATATTAATTATATGCGTTAATCTAGGGTTTCAGTGTCTCTTTTTTAAAATATTTACCTCTAGCAAAGAGTAACTAAAATTTTTGTTTTTATCCCAAGATTTCTGATTTTCTTCTGCCTTATAAGCATGGATAAAAACTTAAAGGTTTAAATAAAAAGTTATAAATATAGTGGTGAATCTTTTCAGAGCTCTGTTAACCTGCATCTGCATTTTCCTCCGTGAAAAGGGGACTGTGGCCCTTCGCACAGGTGCCTTTCTGTTACCAATTTTGCTGGAAGAACGGGAGCTGCTCTCAAGCCTGTAAACAACTCTCAGCATTCTGTTGTTCTGTACTCCTTGCCTATGGCTGCGTAGGGTTTAATTTCTAAATTGCTGAAATGTTCTTTTTCTGAGGCTATTACAAGTGATGTGTTTTTCATTTAGATATGATGTCACCTATTAATGATGGAGCATTTTACTTCCTTTGGGGATATTTAATTAGTGGTCACAGAAAATATTTTCTGCATTTTTAGGTTCTTCAGACATCACTTTATTATTCCTATTTTTAGCATTTTATATTGCTCTTTTATAGTGAGGTTTAAGGCAGATCTTATAGAACTCTTCAAGAGATGAATGCCTCCTTCTAAAATGCATGTTATAGGTGACTACCAAGGCCAGTAGGAGGAATCACCAGGAAATAGCTTTAACACTCCTCTCAGCTTCCCTTGCAGTTTTTCTATGAAAAATGTTATTTCTATTTGCAAAACATGCCCAGAGTTCAGAACACAAAGTATTCTGTAATGTGTTTATCATGTTCCTAAGGTGAGTCTTGTTTTGATGAGACCAACGCTACGAAAAAGTCAGTATTTATGTTTTACTCAGAGTTTACACCCACACTTGCTTAGTTTGGAGGCTTTGAAATTTCCATCTTTCCTAAGGGACAGGAAAAAACCAGCTAATTTAATCCAGCTATACCGATCACCAAGATTGTTGTCTTACCTGACGATCAGTGGCTGGTGACTGATTTTGTTTGTTTTGTGAGTGTTGGCCTTGGTTCTGTTGTAGAACCATAAAGTTAGCTGTTACTGCCTTTATTTATCTTTCTCGAGTACTTGACTTTAGTAATAGTTCTTACCTAAGAAAAACAGAAATTTAATTTAACCGGTGGTGAATACTTGAATTCAAGTGAACCCAAACCAAAAGATGGTTCGCCGGCCGCTGCGCCGCAGGGCTCCCCCGCCGGGAGGCCGCTGCGCGCTCGGGGACTGGGATCCCAGCGGCGTCTGGGCAGCGGGGCTCGCTCAGCGCGCTCAGCGTCGCGGAAACTCAATAGCCCAGTGAGAAAGGAGAGCGGCTTGTTTCTGAAAGACTGAAAGTGATGTAAAATACAGGTACTTGTTTTTGGAGCTAATAGTACATGGATAATTTGTTACTAAATTTAGTGCCTCCCACCTCATAGGCACTTAAGCATGGGGGAGTGAAAACAGCCCTTTTCTCTCGGTCTTTGGCAAGAAAACTGGCTTTTTAAAAGGAAAACGTTTATATTAGAGAACTATTTTGGAAATTAGTTCCTTTAGAAAGAAAGAAAACTTGACGTACATATTTTTGACTCTGAATACATCTAGTCTCCGGACGCAGACCTTCCACGGCCGTCAGGGTGGCGCGTGGAGCGCGCGCCCACGCAGGGTTTCCGTTCTTGCCGCGGCCGTTTCGTGCGGGCAGCGCCGCCGACCAGTCCCG